TCATTTTAAACACCTGACTGGTCTACTTTCCTCATCAAAACCTTCTCCTAACCTGTAAATCTGTAGATGTGTTCTGTTGACAAGCCAGGGGAAAAAAATATAATTTTAGCTTCTTAAGAATGGTATAAAATATAAGACTGAAGACTTCTGCTTAGTATTGGATGAATGTATAGATTGCAAAGCAGGGGCTATTTTAAGAAAAACATTTCTCCATCAGCCAAGAGGTCCACCTGTTTCTCCACAGGTTGAGATCAGAAGGGAATCTAACCTTTCTGCACATCAGCTTCTATTTTCCTGTTTTAAGACAATGTTGGGCAAGAACGCAAAGCTCATTTTTTTCTATTTGCTGTAACTTAAGTATAAATGCTGCTATGTGGGAAGTTAATATGCTGCTTTCTCGCATCATTTGAACCATGACCTTTCATCTGGGATGATATGGATGAATTCCTCTGTTCCATTACTTTCACCGCCTTTGGGTTTGCCTAGGTTTAGAGGGCAATAGACATTCACAAAGGCAGACGTGGTAAACGGCCGTGCAGAAGGTGATTTTACTCTAAAAAAACATGTAGCATTTTTTATGTTGCCGCATAAATAAAAATCGATGAAGACATGTTGCAATATGACGAGGAAGATTGGATTTAAGGGGATTTGATGTGATAAGTCCCTCATGAGGCTTGTTTGTTGTTCTGCAGCCTGTGGTGAGGCTCACAGGTTTAAAACCAGCTGTGCAGGGAGGAACGGATTGTGTAACAGATGCAAACATGTTCAGCAATTTCTCACAACTTCTTTATAGAAATCAATAAAACATTTCAAGTTGCTTACAAATACAGTAAGGGCCCGATCTTCATAGATCCTGAATAAGAGGCTCTATATTGCACATGCACTTTTATTTTAGTTCATGCAAAAAATGGGTGTTGGGAAGTGATCTACAAAGACTACTGTGCAAATGTTAGGATGTGTTATGACTGATTAGATTGATGATGAGCAGATTGTGTGTGTTCAACAGGGAGAATAGAGTGGGGGTAAAAGGAAGATGAGGTTCTAAGGCACAAAGTTGGAGGCAATAATGATAAATATAATTTTAAAAATAGAATTAATTACGCTAAATATTTACAGAGCACTTTACCTAGGTAACCTATCTCTAAGGGTTACTAAAAAAAAAAAAAAAAAAAAAGTATAAATACCAAAGTTACATCTTAAACATGTTAGGATTTAAGACTTTACCTCATCAGACTTGGGGACTCTTTGTCCCTCATGATCCCCTTTCAAATTGCCATAAAAGCCAGAATGGTAAAGTTCATGCCCCTAACAGAGCTTCTTAGCTCATCTGTTGATACTCTCAGCTCCGTCATAGTTCCCAACGGCCTCTATGTGATAATGTTACTTTACAAGCACTTCTGGATTTACAGAGGAGCTATATTTGCATATCTTTTTATATTTGTTACACATAAGGTGACGACAATAGAGCAGATTTTTTGCTCTACTGGATACTGTAGCAGATTTTTTTTTCGGAGTTTCAGAGTTGAGGATAAATCCAAAGAACAGACTAATTAATTTTAATTTTTTTTTTTACTTTTAGACTAAAAAAAAATTTGTTATTTTCCTTATATTTTTGTGCTTTGTGTAATTACATTCAGAAAAGTAATATAAAGAGTTTTGTTTTAACTTCTAAAAAATCAAAGGGTGTAAATACATTTTCAATGAACCATAATATAGGAACTGATTATTTAGTTTTGATTGTTTAGTTATTCGTTAGAACTTTATGCTACATCAGTCCATTTCTCTGCGACTTGTTTGTTTCTGAAATGTGTTTAACGTTGTGGTTGTGTTACAGATGAGAGACACGGCACCCTCAGGCTCAGCAACCTCACCAAAGGCATGTCAGGGAAATACATCTGCAGAGCCAGCAACACGGCCGGCACTGACAGCTGCTCCATTAACCTGGAGGTTATCACCCGTACGCACGCCCTCAGAGAATCTGCTAGTTCTCCACCACACTCTGAGCTGTGACACTGCCTCTAAATGCTGTTTGTGGATTTTATTTTTCATAGCTTCCAATGCTGGAATGATCGCTGCAGCGACCCTGGGGTCTGTGGTGGGACTGGTGGCCATGATGCTTATCCTTGTATTCATACTAAAGAGGAGACAGGACTCGGAGGAGGAGATGGCCAATGAGATCAAGTGAGGCTTTCATTCTATGCAACATCATTGCTTTACTAACTGCACTTCATCTAATCCAGGGACATTTTCAATTATCTCTAAACTAAAACCATGAACTGCGGATAAAATGTAAACTGTAAATTTTAAACTGCAAATTGTATTTTAGTTACAAAGAAAAACAGCTACAAATTTTTTTTAACAACATTAAAAGCATAATGAATGTTTTACTTATGTATATTTATTGACTACAACATTTTCTTTAATTCATATTCTCTGCAGCACCTTGCAAAAGTATTCACAGCTCTTTAACTTATTCTCATTTTATCATCTTAACCACAAACGTAAATGTATTTTATCGGGCATTTTAAGAAGTTGATCAACCCAAAGCAGCGCATGGCTGTGATATAGGTTTTTTTTACCCATAAAGAAAATGTATCATCCTTTTTTTATTTTGCTTTTTTTCACTCTGATACCCCCAAATAAAATTAAGTGTGGCCATTGATTATCAAATTGTTTGCAGTATAATTCTTCTATAGTTTCAGCCAATCTGTTAAGGCCTCAGAGGTTACCAGTAATTAAATAACATGGATGAGCCAAGACTTAGAAGATAGCATCAGGGAGGTTCTAAAGAAGTTTAATCCTACTTTATTTATTTAAAATGTTGCATTTTTAGTTTAATTTTGAGCATCCAAAAAATTGTTTTTGTGTTTTGAGTTATAAAAAAAAAAAGAAAAAAGCTTTTATTGCTTATTTCAACATGAGAATTTTGGACTAGTGGTCAAAAGCTTCTGACTCTTCTAGTCAAACAAATTCAGAAGCTTTACCCAGTTAAAATTCAGACCTAAATTCAACTGGAAATCTTTTGCAAGACTTAACTATTATTATTCACAGAGAGGATGGATAGAGCTGTTGGAGCTGCATCTATCTCACTGTGTAGATGTGCAAAACTGGATGTGACTTTCCTCAAAAGCCCTTTAACTTCAATTTCACACACACAAAAAAAAATCTATAAACTACTGACTTTAATGAGGCCCTAATATGAATGCACACCACATTTTTTTAATGTAAAGAAAAGGGTCTGGTAAAATGCTTCGATGTTTTGAGGTAACTTAATGTGGAAAAGTAATCTCTCTCCCTCTCTACAGTTTGAAAAAAATTAACTCAATTTAACCAAGAACAAATAATCTTCACTAGCGAATTAGTTAATTCTGTATTTTAAATTTAAAATGCATTTCTGCCCCTTTATTTCTTTCATTTGACATCTTTCTCTGCTACAGGGAGGATGCTCAGGCACCAAAGAGGGTTTCATGGGCAAAGAGTAACACAGGCTCAGACATTGTGTCAAAAAACGGCACCCTGTCCTCTGTCGCCACCAGCCCCCGATCGCAGGATCCGCCCAAATTCCCATACCCATACTCTCCCGTTTCGGCATCAGACACAGGCTCGGTGATCAACGCCTACCAGCTGCGACCCGGGACGGCCTGCAGCCTGCAGGGGCTTCCTGGATATAATATCGGAGGCACTCCTATACGCAAACACAAGCGACCCCCCTGTGCAAACGGAGGGCCCCCACAGATCCTCAGAAGCCCTGCGGTCGGCATCCCGCTAAAAAGGACTGAAGGGCCTCAGCCTCAGGTTCCCCCTCCAGTTACTGTGTCCCCACAGATCAGCTCCTCCACTCTGACACGCATGGGGGCCGTAGCCGTCATGGTGCCTGCTCAGAGCCAAGCCGGCTCCCTGGTGTAGCTCCATACAGGACAGACGGAGAGGATGCCTTCAGGTGGAGAACATTTCCCCATGATGTGAGCAGCTGTCCAAGTGGAAAATATCTGACGAGAGACTCGTTTGCAAAAACTCTCCTTCCAGGTTGTTGAAGAAATCAAACTCAGTGCAGCATTCCTTATTTCTCTTCTACATTTGTTTTTTTTTTATGTATCATTCACACCCACAACAGAGAAATATATTTTTATTTTTACACGCCTCAGAGCATTTCCTTATATAGAATAAGCTTGTTTTAATATAACAGTTACACAGTGAGAAGTCCCATAAGCTAAATGCTTTTTGCTATTACTGGAAACTATGCTTTGTCTACATTTCTAATGTTTGTATAATAACCCAATAACGGACATGCTGATGTCCAATTTACTGCCTATGTAGGAAATAGTCTTCAGTCATATTTGCCAGGATTTTGTTCTAAACAAAATAACTGTTTAGATGCAGATATTTTACTTTCCTTAACTTGTTCATTTTGTTCAAATCTTTTAAACTGTTGCAGAAATATCAGTATGATTATGGTGTGTACTGAGCATTCATTTAAAGAGTATTTTGCCAGTTCCAGTAGCTTGAATGTAAACTGAATATTGAGTGTAATATTGATGGTTCATAATTGTTAAGGTGCTTGATTTTCATCAGTTACTGCAGACATTTAGGTAAATTGAACTGATTTAACAAGAAAACAGCTCAGCAGATTTATTCTGTTCTAATGCTAGTTATTCTTGTAAACTCTGGAAATAACATGGCTGTGGTTGATGCTTTTAAAGAGTTTCATGTGTTATTTTACATGCTGTTCTCATTGCCCACATTTACTTTTTTAAATAAAGTATTCTGGAGTCGTTGCCCACTAATGCAAAGATTATATTTTGAATACATAATCAGGTACATGGCATCAGTAATGTTAGGAGTGTTGGTATGTTTTATTTTGGACTGCTCTGCTAACTGCAGAGCATCATGTGGAAGGTCACCATGGAACAAGTTAACAGCCGCTGCACCTCAACAAACCAAACTTTACAGATAGATTGTATTTCTAGTTATGCAGTCATTCTTTCAGCAAATCAGTGATGATATTCTGAACTTTTATACCCTGGAACTGAAATCTCTCAAATCGTTAATCTAAATTGGGCTGTTAACTGTTGCAGCCTGACTTTCTTCTTATATCAGACATCCAATGCTCCAATCTGGAAAGAGTTGCACAGGAGAGACTCAATGGAGCAGAGTTTTTTTTCATGACAAACATCCAGGAGGTCATTAAGGTTGTTTTCATCATTTAACAATATGAACCTGAAGAAAATAATACCCTTCCATGCTGGAACTCCAAGGTGAAAACAACTTCTGACCAAAAAGACATTTCCTCAAACTGATCCCAAAAGTTCTTGGAAAGAACAGAAATCAATAAACTGATAACAGTAGGACTTCTGGAGAGCATGTCTCCTTATATTTTGAATAGAAACTATTTAAAAAAAAAGAGCATAGTACCTACATATCAGTCTGGAACCTCATGCTTTCCACCACATAGTCCTAAAGGAGAATGTCTGGTCATCAGTTTGACATTAAACTCAGGCACATTTACTCCGTTACTAAGCAACAATAACCCTTAAATCCCTATCGTGTCCAACTCGACATGGCTGAAGAAACAAAACAACAAAAAAATGAAGGCTTAGAAGCGGCATAGTCAAAGTCTCGATTGAAGTCTTTGATGGAGTGGCAGAAACCCTATTAACTACTTAGAGGGATGTAAAACTGCAGGTAAAGTTAATAGCAAGTGTGGACTGGAGACTGAAATTAACGGAAGTGGTTGAACTATAGTAAACAAAATACAATTATCAAAAATGCTTTACAGTCTGAAGATTTAGATAGATCTTAGAGAAATGTTGCGCCTACCAGGAGAATTGTTCACAGTTCAATGTCTACTAGATTATTCAGTTCAGTGGAAATGGAGGGAGGGAAATAAACCCAGAAAGTTTCCCTGGTTTCTAGAGTTTTCTGAAATAGTTCATTTCCAAAGCTTAGAAAAATGCACAATTCCTAAATACATGGTATAGTATGTAAATTCTCTTTATCAGTTATACAATGTGAGATATGTCAAAAAGTAAAGACAGGGTCTATTTTACACATTTCAATATAAGCTTGACCTTTGGGTGGTGATTCCCAAACTACCAATCATTGTCTAACCGTATCTGTGCATTACTTAGCAGAACAAGGATGGGTGGATAAAAATCATTCCAGTTATTACTAAGATAATGCACTAGTGTTAGAAGCAGGTAGAATAGTCTTGATTTCCACCCCGAAAACTCATCACAAACACAACATGATCTGATGTTTTACTACAAAAATATAACCTGCTTTACACTAATCTCTCTGATGATTCCTGTCAAAACCAGAAGAAGTGTGATGCTGAGAGTAAATTATGACCAGCAAAACCATAACAATCAATCAAGACCACAAATGCAGGATCTACTGAGCATCCACCAGAAACGATTTATCAGGACTCTGTGAGCAGATTTCGGGAAATTATCATCCTCATCACCTCATTGGTTCCTGTGGGAGAAAAAAAGATGTCAGCTCACAAATCAAACTGAGATCCTATAGAGGAAAGAGAATTATAAACCTACCCTCAAGAATCTGATGGACTCTGATGTCCCGCATAAACTGCTGTACAGCGTAATCCTTCAGGTAACCGTAGCCACCGTGCATCTGAAGAGCCTGGTTGCAGATCTGCAGAAAAACAAAACATAGAAACTGACAATATTTTCTATAAAGCTGCACGTCGATCTACATTACTAATTTAAAAAATATATATATTTCTAAACACCCTCTGTGGTAAAAAAGTTCAGGAGTATTTCCTAAATAGACCCATAGGATAATCCCGTATGTGAATGATGACCAATCAGTGATATTTCCTCCATCTATGAAGAGTTTTGGAGTAAGAGGTTTAAAACACCCAGAAAAGCTTCATTTTATCTGGATTCCAAAAACCACTTCCCATATTAAATTTGCATTTCGTCCGTTGCACCACAAATAAAAGCTGTTTAACTCGGCTAAGAGGAGTTTTTGTTTTTCTGAGACTTTAAGAGGTCAAACTGACCCAGACGGAGAAATAGTTCTAAAACTAATGAAAAAGTCGGTGCGCCATCTAAAAAAAAAATCATTTTCAATTATTGGAATATAAACGTCTTTACATTCCTAACATTCTGGGTTTTATAATACACGCAGCAAAGTGTATTATATGGTTGTAATCAGCCTCCTTTCCTCTATTGCACCTGTAAATTCCTCAGAAGCTGAATAATCAGGAAATAGTCACCTTGTGTGCGATTTAATCTCGGTATACAAACAGCTGTTCTGCAAACACATGCCACATCACCCTAAGACATCCTCCAAATAAGTATTATGGCAGTATTATGCTGTGCGCAGGGTTTTTTTTTTTTTATTTAAAGCAGCTGCTCAGAGTTGGGACTTCAGAAGGAGGCTGAGGTTCATCTTCCAGCAGAACAGGGAGCCTAAACTAAAGCCAGAAATACAATATAACGGTTTCTGTGTCTGAATGGTCCAATCAAAGACCAGAACTGATTCATGTTAGGATCAGTGACAAGAGCTGAAACTTGAAGTTCAGTTGAAACTATTTTGTAATGAATTACAAAACACACAATTTTACTTATAATAAGCACCAAATACACTGGTTTTCATTCTGTTTGGGACAATAAATGAATATATACATTTTACTGTGTGAATGCATGCAATCTTTATTTATTTTTTTCAGAAATCCTTTACTCTAAACACCAGTCTGGGTAAACTAATAATCTACTTTGAAGGTTATGATTGTAATTTGGGAAGTTGAGACGCTGTACTCACATTAAAGCACTCGTCTGTTACAAAAAGTTTAGCCATGGAGCAGAGGGAAACGGCATCAGCTCGGTTCTCCTGTAACGCGGTGGCAGCCTCACGCACCAGAAGGCGAGATGCAACCAGCCTGGTGGCCATTTCTGCCAGCTTGAACTGCAGGAACTACACCCAGGATGTGCAAAGAGACAGGGAACACCAAGTTAAATGCTCATGAGTAAAGAATCTAGTTATTTAGTTAGTGTGTTTAAGAAATCTAAAGCTGCTTACTTGGTTATTAGCGAGTGCCTCACCAAACTGCTTGCGCACCAACAGGTGATCCTTGGCCAGAAGCACAGAGGCGTGTGCTGCTCCCAGAGAACAAGACGCTGATGATGGAGTAAACAGAGAGAAAATAAACCAGCATGAAATTATTCTTAAGCTTTTACCAAAGAATAAGAATTCAGCAAAAGAACCTCAATAACTAAAGATACTGATAGGTTTATTATATCTACAAAAACAAGAATGTTCTAAAGCAGAAGAATGAAAGCATTACTCTTTTATCACTTCGGGATTCTGCTACAGTATCCACATCATTAATGCAAAGACCTGCGTCCATTAGGCACATTCCAAGCTGATGAGGAGACAGCTTGTCTATAAAAAAAAAAAACCTTAGATGGATACGACAAAAGCTAAGATGTGAGACTTTGAAAAACCTTTTTTACTTTAATTTATAATTCACACATTTGTAGGCTTTTTCCCCCTCAGAATTAAAAAATAAGAACAAAACTAGTAAGTCAACCCACATCATGCATGAGGGATTTTTTTCCCCTAAATAAATGTAAAATTGTAATTTTCAATTTTTCTACAATGTAATAAGAACTAATATTCAGAGATATTGATCAAAATAAAAGGCTGTTTAAGGTTTTATGTGGCAATGAAGTGACAAACATCTTCTACTGCCTCCTGCAGGTTGTCCTCTTGCACAAAAAATACCATTTACAAACTTGGTATTAAAAAAAAACTAACAAAAAAAAAAAACAAGATCATAAAACACAATTTACTGAATACATTAAATATAATTTTATCTACCCAATAAAAATCTAAACCAAAATTACAGATATTTTCAAATAAAGAATAAATGAAAAATAAGCAGCTCCAATCCATCTGCTTTGAAACTCCTCATTTCACATTTCTAAGTGAAGAATCTTATTTTACCTTTAAACAGACACCTGTACCGTGATATTGTCTGATATCAATGCATTCCACCTTGTTTAAAGCAAAGCGATCTACACACTTCATAGAAAAGAATAGAAAATCCCTTTATTGTCCCACAATGGGGAACTTGTGGTGCTTACAGTACAGCAGCAAAGGTTATAGCAGAAGTGCTCACACAATGTGCACCTTAGATAAGTGTACCAAAATAACAGAGTAACATAAAACAAATAGAGTATTGTACTGTACAGTGTTTTTACAATATAAATACTCTGTAATTTGAGAATAAAAATAAATAAAAGCAAAGTAGTGTGAATTTTTTCACAATATTTTCTTCCTCACCAATATTAATCCTGCCTCCATTCAGGCCCTTCATGGCGATGTTGAAGCCCTGCCCTTCATCGCCCAGCCGGTTGGTCACTGGAACAGGACAATCCTCAAATATTACAGCCCTGGTAGGCTGAGAGTTCCAGCCCACCTGGAGAGGAAGATAAACACACATGCTGGATCATATCTGCCATCTAGTGGATAATTGGAAAACTACAATACACAATAATGGCATCAGCAGACTGCACCTTTTTCTCCTTTTTGCCAAAGCTGAGGCCTGGTGTTCCCTTCTCAACCACCAAACATGAGATTCCTTTAGGTCCTTTACCTCCTGTCCTGCACATCACAACATACACATCTGTGTCTCCTCCACCACTGATAAATGCCTGGGAAAAAATAGTCAGGAGGAAACAGATTTGAGGCACTACTGTTATAAACACAAGCATTTGCAAAAGTGCATATGTTCAGTTGCAAATTCCCTCATACTTTTCACTTTTTTTTCTACGTTTCATCACATTAAAAACAACAATTTCTGGGAGTACAAGTACTGGGAGTTTTTGTGACAGAACAACAAAGGAGCAAATTTTGAAGTTGAAGTTTTGGCCAAGAGATTTTTTCAAACTTCAGTTCATTAAATGTATAGCAGAGGATCTTTTTTTCTGGGTGGATCATCAAAAGAATTTGTCCTCCTAATTGTCAATCATTCTGCTAAATGGTTTACGTAAGGCCATCCTACGCGCTTGTCCCCAGTTTCACTTACCTGTGATGAGTCTGACATAGTGGAAAAATTGCAATAATCCCACTGTAACACGTGTTTAATAGGCGTTCCCTCTTGGGAGCTGGTACAGGGCTGTGCATTTGTATTTTTCTGTTAGTTTTTTTTTAAGAGGTGAGGGCTGGTCTTTCCCTAAATTCGCAAAAATCGTCCACTATACCTTTAACTCATGCATGGTTATAAGTAGTTAATATGACATTTCATATTTTCACATTAAATGTCTGCAGTTTCTATCTTGTTAAACAAGTCCATTTGTAGTTGACGTTTTCAAATCAGTTCTTCCAATAATACAGACTATCATCCATTGTTCCATTGTCGGAGGACAGGGCATCCTACAATTAAAGGTTAGCATTTTTCTTGCAACTACCAGAAGGATGTGGAATAATTGTCTCCGTTATGCATATTTTTTCATGCATATGTTAGGATGAATTCCTTGAAAGAAAGAAAACTTGGATCTATAGTAACAGTTAATACAGGTTGTGTCTGAATGTCCGCCCTAATCACTATATAAGGCACTATATAGTGGTTACCTCATTTTAGATGAGTGTCCGAATGTCTAGTGCAGGGGTGTCAACCTGTTTCCAGAAAGGGCCGTGTGGCTGCAGGTTTTCTTTCCAACCAAGCAGTAGCACACCAGACTCCATTCATCTCATCAAGTCATTGTGTTCAGATTAAACTCACTTAATTAGATGACTGGAGTCTGGTGTGCTACTGCTTGGTTGGAAAGAAAACCTGCAGCCTCATGGCCCTTTATGCTAAATTAACAGGCGCTAGGAAGCATCCTGCTTCCTTATCCTACCTTCTATCCTTCCTTACTGCCAGCGAAGTTCAGAGCACATATCATGGCGACCGCTGACAAACTTCAGCCTTGGCTTAAGCTGAGCTATTTGAGTTATTTGGCTCAGGCCTCAGACTCAGACCTAGATCAAAAAACTGTTTATGGACACCAGGTAGAAAACTGTAAACCTGCACCAGGTTGTAAAGAGTTGATCTACAACGGGCAAGCAGGTTGGTGAGAATAAATGAACTATGGGAGCCATTGGAAGAAAATGGATGGCATATAACATCTGGGTCCTCATGGAAGATCTCATCCTGTGGGGTCAAAATGATAAGGTGAGCAAAAATCCCAGAACTACAAGGAGGAGCCTAATGAATGCTGTGCAGAGAGGTTACCATGTGGAACACACTACAGGCCCCTGCTTACACCAGTACATGTCCAGGTCCATCTGAAGATTACCAAGAGAGCCACATTGACGGAGGGAAAGAATTAGGAGAACATCCTTTGGTCAGATGAAAGCAAAATAGAACATTTTGGCACAAACTCAACTCCTCGTGTTTGAAGGAAGAAGAATTCTGAGTTGCATCCAAGGGACACCAAACCTACTGTGAAGCATGGGTGTGGAAACATCATGCTTTGGTGCTGTTTTTCTGCAGAACAACTGATCCATGATGAAGGAAGAATGAGCAGGCAATGTATTATGAGGCCTTACGCCAAAACCTCCCTCCATTAGAGAGAGCACTGAAGATGGAACCTGGCTGGTTCTGCCAGCCTGAAAATGATCCCAAACATTCTGCTGAGGCAACAAAGTGGCAATGAGTGGCTCCATAGAAAAACATCTCATGGTTCTAAATTGGCTTATCACATCCCCATAGAAAATTTTGGGGGGGGATTAAAAGTTCATGTTGCCCAGCAACAGCCTACACACTTCACTGCTCTACAGGAGATCAGCATGAAGGAATGAGCCAAAATACCAGATACAGAGCAAACCTGCAGAAGACTTACAGGAAAGGCTTAACCTCTATCATTGCCAACAAAGGTTATACTACAAAGTATTTAGTGGAACTTTTGTTATTGACCAAATACTTACTTCACATGATAATTTTAAAATAAATTCTTCAAAGATCCAAGAATGTGCAAAACATGAAGAGCCCTACATCCTGCTATGTCAAAGTTATGCAGTTCTTCGCTGTTTCCTATAAGATGAAATCTCAATCTCAAAAATATAATCCATCTTCATAACAACAAAAAGTGCAGAAGAGGGTCAAATTATATGGTTACCTTAGTGATCCACTGAGTGAGAGTTGATCAAAATTACCTTGGAGCCATTTAAGATGTAATGGTCCCCTTTCCGCTGAGCAGATGTGAGGAGAGAAGCAGCATCACTGCCACTGCCTGAAATGAAGCATCACAGCTCTAATCTCTGTATCCCTCTACGTCCATGGCAACAGTAGATATTTAAATGTGTTTATCCTTAAACATTGAGCAAAGACGCTGACCTGGTTCAGTCAGACAATAAGATGCAAACTTTTCCATGGAGCAGAGGTCAGGGCAGAACTTCTCCCTCTGCTCATCGTTCCCAAAGGTGTCAATCATCCAGGCACACATGCTGCAGGAGAAAAGGATTTTTTACAGTTAATCTTTAAGATAATATCTTACCCATAGAGCATCTCTTAAAAAAAAAATGAGCCATACTTGTGGATGCTAATGTAAGCTGTGGTGCTCACACATCCTGTGGACAGAGCCTCAAAAATGATGGATGTGTCCAGACGAGAGAGGCCCGACCCCCCGACCTCTGGCCGGACGTAGATGCCCCCGAATCCTAACTGGGCAGCTCTCCGCATCGTCTCCACTGGGAAGATTTCCTGTGGGAGAAATGGGGAGGAATAAGAAAATGCTGTGAAAGACTTTTTTTTTCTTCATTGTGATGGAAACAAATCCAGGACAGCAGAATTGAGCATTTCCTGGAAACAATAACAACCACATGTAAAACAATAAATCCTATAAAGTCCCGTATTCTTAAGATAAGAGAGTAAAGAACAAGGATAAAAATATGTTATGATGGAAAAGATCAGCTTTTTTTGGTTAGCATATAGTAGTGATATCACTATAGCAGTAATATCACTACAAAACACATTTATGACAATAGTACTTATTTTAAACATTTATAGCTTTGGTCAGAATTTATAAACACTCATTTCATATTTCCAAGGTTTGAATTCTGAATTTGAACAACTTAATTGTGATTGTTGATCACTATGAAACATATTCCTTAAATTATAAGAATAATACTTTACTAATAGCTTTCTAAATGAAATACAACCTGGGAAATTAATGTATAATCCAATCAGACTTTTAATGATAAATGTAAGATATTTAACCCTCTTTAGGAATCAAGTGAATCACAAATACAAAAACCACACAAAGAAGAGTAGACATGACTTAAAGTGGATTTGTTTCCCAGGTTGTCTACCAGCTGAACTGTTGAGCCTTAATGGAAGCGTAAGGAGAAAAAAAAATTGCAAACATACCTTTTGGTCCCACTCTGCCATGTGTGGAGCCATTTCATTGGCTGCAAAGTCAAAAGCCACTTTCTGAAACTCTTTCTGCTCGTCTGTAAGTCCATATGAAGCTGTTCACAGAGAGACACATCGGACACCAACGAAGCACTTAGGTGGGTTTTTATTACATTGTTTATAAGAGATGCTGAACTCCTACCAAAGTGAACCTAGATGATGCAGGAAGCATTTTTCAGACAGAACTGATGAGACAGTTAGAAGTATATTAGACTGAAAGAAGCAAAGATGGGTAATAGCTAGTTGCATTCACTTGAGCAACGTTTTGTCAAATAAAAAACTTTACACATTGTACACAAGTATTAATATCATTGGTGGGGGTGCACCGATTACAGGTTTCTGTTAAATCACTGGTTCCCGATCTTGAACAGTGACATAATAATAATAAATAAATGAAAGTTTAAGGCCTTGACATTGAGTGATTTTTCAGACCTTTACAGAGGTAGATCAGATAGGTGGAAAATAATGTTTTTTCATCCAAGTATCTGGTGATCAGTAATCAGGGTTTATACAGGAATGAGTTATTCTAATTTAATGCTTTTTAATGCTCTTATAATGTTCTTAGAAATCATTTTAATGCCATCAACAAGTACTCGTCGACAGGCTGCAGTTATGTCCCGAATTCCTCGTTTTCCAGCAACTTTTGTTGAAATGTGCATTTTTCCCCATTCTCTACATTTTTCTCTTCCAAACATATGGCTTTATGATCAATCGGAAGCAGTTCTGTGCAAATATATGTAGCAATATAATATATCTGATGAAATTGTTTTCATAAACTTTTTTTTTTTTTTAACAAAGCATTTTAAATACCACAATAATCACATTTAATAATTTTGAATGCCAATTATGGCCTTAATTAAAAAAAATAATAATTTAATGACTTTTAAAGATTTTTAATGACCCGCCTAAACCCTGCTAATCTCCCAAAATTAAGAAAATTGAAGGCGACCAATTGGCCAGCCAATAAATCAGTGCACCACTAATTATCGGAATTATCACTACTCTAGAATTTAAACTCAGAAT